TTTTTTTTTTTTCACCCTTTCACGCGCCTGTCTGCTGCACTGACGGAATGTGTTGTGCGAAAATGGGAAAGAGACAAGAACAAAATGTGTTTGTTTCGGTTCACCCACTCTTCCTGCGGATACCCTCTTGTCACGGCCGTGTTTGCGTCGAAGTGTCTTGCTTGCACAGCAAGATGTGATGCGGTGGCTCTTAGACGGCATGTCGGAAATGTTTTTTGTTGTTGTTGTTCGTTGGTTGTGTTTGTTCTTCTTATTTCACACAAGCGCGCGCTCCATTCGAGAAGGGAGTGAAGAATATTATCGAGTTCTGCAAAGAAAGGGAACTCGAACGGCGGCGCAGATGCGGCGCGTCCTTACCAGTTGGCTCTTCACGCCACGCGTATCGGCGACCGTTGCATCTGCGGCAACAACAACAGCAATAGGAGGAGTAACAGGAGGAGGAGGATTTGTATCTTCCACCAGGTCTGCAATTGTGCCGTTCGGAATGTCGGCTCTTCACATCACAGTTAGAGGAGCAGCAACTGCGGCGGCAGTTGGTGACGAAGACACAAAGAAGAAGCGACGGGGACGAAGAAAGGCGACATCAGCTCAATCTGCCGTCGCTGAATCCCCTGAAGAAGGAAGGCATGTAGCGCGTAGCAAAGGCAACACGGCGCGACGCACTAAGCACGCAACGCAACCAGAAGTTGAGGGCGCTGGAGTTGTGTTTGGTGACGAGGCTGGTGACGTCATGGATGGAAATGCTGCAACGTGGGGGGAGGATGAAGTTAAAATGAGGGAGTTAGATGCGCTAGAGGGTGGCGAAGATGGCGATCATGTGCCACTGTCCCCTCGCCGTCGCGGGCGTCGTGCAGCTTACAGAACGACTGGTGGTGATGAGGAGATAGAAGGGGAGGATAACAACAACAACGCCGGTGGGGAGGAGGAGGAGGAGGGTGGGGATGCGTCTGGTGAATCACCAGTCGGTGATGGCGCAATACAAATTGCAGATGAAGAAAGTAGATTTCTGAAAGACCGCTTCCCTGATTTGGCGACAGAGTACGACGTGGAGGCCAACCAGGAGCCCGTGGATGAAGTGTTCTTTGACAGTGCTCGTGTGGCTTCATGGAAGTGTGTAGAGTGCGGCTTTAAGTGGAAGAGCGGAGTCTTTGTGCGCACCTGTCTGCGGACGAAGTGCCCACAGTGCGAAAAGGAGCGTAACCCTTGCTTAGCGAGTCGTTTCGTTCAACTATGGGATCATGCCCTCAATGATCCTTGTGTGGATCCCAAGACGGTAGTGGCGAGCAGCAGCAAGTCTGCGTACTGGCGCTGTCCCAACTGCAGTACCAGCTATCAAGCCCGCATCAAAGACGTCGTGGGGGAAAAGGCAAAATGTCCCTCATGTTCGCTACTGAACATCCACGCTGACTTTAGCAAGGATGAGAATGGCCTGCTGCAGGAGTGGCACCCTCTCAAAAATGGTGATCTGCAACCCAGCCAGGTAAAACCGACCGATCAAACGAAGCTGTGGTGGCTCTGCATGGCATGTGGACACGAGTGGGAGGCGACGCTCGCCGCCCGACTCTCCAAGACGCGTCGCACAAAAGGTAAAGAGTGCCCTGTCTGCCACGGGAAAAAGAAAATCTGAAGTCACACCAAAGAGAACTCGATGTCACTTCTCTCAACACAAAACAAAACAAAAAACACAAATAAATTCTTCACAGAGCCCCCCACCCACAGGAGCGTGGAAGAAGGGTGCGGAGGGAGGAGCTCCTGCCCGGACACAAGCCAGGGTTATCGGATTCAGGTTCCGAGGTGATAACCGCCACCCTACCGGGGAGCTGCGGCAGGCAACGGGGAGCGTGTTACGGGTTCCCGCGATGCGATGGGAGCAGAGAAGCAAGGAAGTTTCGTTTTTGGTGGAAGAGGGCTTGTCATATGTGTTTTCCCCAATTCATTCAGACTGTGAGCGTCTTTAGCCATTTGCTCCTCTCTTGTTGTTTTATGTGTATACATATATATATATATATATATATATACGCGTGTGTTTCTGCCAAGGGGAAGGAAGGCATCTCTGCCCCACTTTCTCTCTCTCTCTCTCTCTCTTGCATATACACACATACGAAAACATACATAGTTAGAAACAAACGATTCAGGCGCGTCAAAAATGGCCTCCATGGTGAATCCGTACAAGGAATCCATGCGGCGACTTGCCAACTACGTAGGGTTGGTGAATTTTGGTACCACGCAAGCGGTGACCCCACCACCGGCATCTGGAACGGAAGCATTGTACTTCCAGGCCGCTGAGACGCCCGAGTGGAAATCCCACATCGCATCGCTTCCCCCTCACGAGCGCCACAAGGCCTCAGTGCGGCGACGCCTCTCAAGACGTTTCTGGGTGGCAGCGCAGGCAGACCTGTGTTTGTGGTGTTGGTTTTCGAAGGATATGTGTTTTTGTGCCAAGTTGGAAGAATATCGAGAGCAAATGCTCTCCGCGGAGTTGGACTCAGCAGTGAAGGTGACAATGGTGTTGCACGCAGCGGAGGTGATGCGGACAACAAATTCTGGACATATAGCGGCGTTCATCTTGGGTGCACCCATCCGTGTGTGGGGTGTGGAGGAGGATGATGCCTACCTGGCGGAGTTACCCGCGGTGGCGGCAGATGACGATGGCTCATATGCCGTCTCATTGTATCCAGAGCCTGATGCTGTCCTGTTGGAGAATTTCGTGCAGAATCTAGAAAAGGGCACAAAGGTTCATTTGGTTCTCTCCGATGGGACATGGGGCCAGGCAACTGCTCTAAATCGTCACATACCTCACCACATTCCTCGCGTAGCGTTGTTTATTGACAGATCATATAAGTCACTTTTTAAGGCGCTGCGCAAGCAAACAAGGGAGACAGGTGTCTCAACGCTCGAGGCCACTAATATGGCCATGGAGCAGTGTCTTCGGGGCTTGTACGGTGCCAATGAAGCCGCCGTGTCGAGTTCGTCCACCTTAACAGCTGCAATGAAAGAGTTTGTAGACCTGAGGTGTCTCCTAAAATACCAGGACGCATGTTTCGCCAATGATTTGGGTGCTGTAGCCAACATTGTTGAACGGCGTGATATTTACCGTCGAGAGGCTGCGCTTGGGCGCCTAGAGAACATGATGTATAGGGTACAGAACGACCCTGAGGTGCGAAAGCTGCTGCTCCCCCCGGTGTTGAATTACTGTTATGCATGTGATGTGGCCGTGGGGTGGCATCGTATGGTCGAACATGCGTTGGGTAAAGGTCACCAAGAAGGCTTGAAGAAAAACCCTTCCTGTATCCCTAGTGAGCAGTCACGTGGGCGATTGTATGGCATACGTATGCCTCCAAACGACGTGTAGGTGCGAGTAAATCATATGCCAGGATTTTCTTCTCTCTACCGAGCAGTGGTTGCTTATGGCTTTATAAAGCATTTGTTATCCTTTTTTTTTTCTGTTCATTGAATTTTGTGCGTCTGTGTGTGTGTGTGTGTGTATGCATTGAATATTTCTCTTGTAGCGACAATGTATGCGCTCCCATATGTGGAGGGGTATGAGTGCTGGTCCTGTATAAGTTGTCTGTAGAGTTTCCTTTCTAGGGTCTTTTTTTTTTACCTTTCTTGATGACACACCTCTAGTCTGTTCTCTCGGGCAATTTCTCGCCTTCTATTTGGCACATGAACACGGCGCCGCAGGCTCAAGAGCGTAGCTGGTTCTTCTGCATAGATTCACCATGTCACGTTCGAAGTCTCCTTCCAGTTCCAAAGTCCTCTGAGGAAGATGCATCGGCGATGCCCGTTGTTTTGGTGGCTGACCGCAAGACGGGTAATGTTAAGACATATGATTCAAAGCTTCAGCGTCCTTGTAGTGAGCCTCTACGCACCCCTGCGGAAGTTAATGCACCAGCCTTTTCATCGGCCGCACTGCAGCAGCAGCAGCCCACAACCAATATGGCACTCTCACTCTGCCTTGTGGGTGACAGAGGGCTCTGGGTGGGGTGGTCGTCGGGGCACATTGGCGTCTATCAAATGCACCTTGAGCATGCATCGGCTACCACGTCACCCAGTGCAACTCCGTCGGACGCAAAGCGGCTCAAATCACGCAGCACAAACTGGGCTTTGGTGAGCTACCTTCACGAGCATCGTGCGGCGGTGCATATGGTTGTCACAGGACCAGGTCCTTGGGTGTTTAGTGCCAGTCATGACCATCGGGTGCTGCAGTGGAATGCAGAGACGCGTCAAATGATTCGTGACTTGACGAATATTTGTCGTGCACACGACGACTACAGACCATCACCGATACGCATGATGTGTGTAGCGATGGGTTGCTCCAGCTCGACGAGCTTCAGACATCCACGGGGGCATTTTGTTTTCTTCTTCTCAACCGAGCGGAGAGCGCTCTATAGCCTCGCTTTAGGCGGCCCAGGAAGGACAGGAAAGGTGCTGTCTGACCGCGATGTGCCTCTGCAGCGAGTGACGTCAGCCCGACCGACAGTGACAAGTTCCGCCGTCCTCATCGGTGATGACAATGACGATGCGGCGGCGGTGTTGTGCCTGGGTGACGACGAGGGAACGATTACCTTTACTACCCTGACGGTTGTTTACGATGGAGGCAGTGCAACACCAGCAGCAGCAGCAGCAGCAGCTACTTCCTCCCCAATCACTGACACTGCAATCCCCGACGACGACTATCTGCGGGCGGTCGCTGACGCTGCCCTCTCTGCTGACACGCTGAACGTGAACAGAGGCCGGGTCACGGTGCTGTCGGTGCTCTCGGCGGTTGCAGACCATACGACAGGCATCATGTCGTACGGCCTTGCTGCGGCCTCATCGCGAAACGTCATTACACTGTTCAAAGTGAGTGTGTCACCACTGATTGCAGGAGGTCACGTTTCGGGGTGTGCGCTACTGAGTGTTCTCCCGACTGGCGGCCCTGTCACGTGTCTCACACCGCTGTTGCGACCAGTGTGTCAAGGCCCGGTTGCCACTGCCTTGACGGCCTTTGCGGATGGAACGACGGCTGTTCTGTTTGACTTCCACAATCTTCCGACTAGACGCAAAGACGACAATAATCACACGGTGTCTGAGGTGTCCCCTCTGCGCTATAGTTCAGCAACAACACCACAGAGGTCATGGAGTGAAACGGAAGTCGAGGCGCTGCAGCAGCGGCTGCGTGCCGCGCTGGAGGTTGTCGCGCACGCAAGTGCCGTTGCCGAGGAGGCGGATCAGGCGTTGGAGGAACAGCAACGGGAGATGCGGCAGCTGCGCTCCGCAAATGACGTCTTGGCGTCTCAGTTGCAGCAGCTCTCAGAGGCGCTGAGCAAGAAGAATGCGGAGGTTGTGGCACTCAAAAGGCAAAAGGACCACGCAGAAGGGGAAAAGGCGGCGATTCTGGACATAACCCGTCAACTTAATGAGCTGGAGCGGCGCAATCAGAGCCTTGTGGAACATTTGGACTTACTTCGAGTAGAGAAGGAAGACGAAGTGAGGCGTGCTAAGAGCTTGGAAACGGAACGGGACCGTATGCAGGCCGCATTGTGTGAGGCGGAAGAGCGCCATTACTTGGGCTTGGACGAGTTGCTCCGCGGGAATCGTTTTCTCGCAGAGAATATTGGGTGCCTCGAGCGCGAGAAGCGCGACGTACGTCTTCACGCCGCTGAAGAGCGCACACACGTTTCCAGTGCGCCACTGCCGAGTACAGTCGCAAGCACAAAGGGGGGCGGCAAGTACTCGTTGCGCGAATTGCTTGAGCAGGCCCTCAGTGCACTGGAGCCTGCTGCCGACGAGGCTGCAGCGTCTTGAGAGTTCCTACTGCAGAAATTGTAGTCGTTTTTGCAAGGAAATGGGTGTTAGTCCTCCTTTTCCTTTCTTATCTGTGCGAGTCTATAGTGTGTATCGAAACCCTACCCTCACAATGCATTGTTTCTGTGCTTTCGATTTCTACATGCATATATATATATATATATATATAAGAAGGGTAAAGCGGCGTCTTCTCCGTTCCCCCCCCCCTTTTTTTTCACAACTCTCCGCACCCATCAACGCCTACTCTCTGAAGTGTAAAGCAAAGTAGCATTGACACATTCAAGACTCAACCATGGAGGAGACATATGACGCCATCGTCTGTGGGACTGGCCTGACGGAATGCGTCCTGAGTGGGCTGCTCTCCGTGAATGGTTACAAGGTTCTGCACGTGGACCGCAACCCGTACTACGGAGCCGAATCTGCAAGCCTTAACCTCGAACAACTCTACCAAAAGTTCAATAAGGGCACCCCGCCAGCCTCACTTGGCCGCAGTCACCTTTACAATGTAGATCTTATCCCTAAGGTGCTCATGTGCGCCGGTGAGCTGGTGAAGATTCTCCGTGCCACTGTTATTGACCGCTACAACATGGAGTTCATGCTCATTGATAACGCCTTTGTGATGAAGGATGGTAAGATTGCGAAAGTGCCCGCAACGGAAACAGAAGCTCTCATGTCCCCACTGATGGGATTCTTTGAAAAGCGAAAAGCGGCAAAGTTGTTTCAGTACATGGGAAACTACGACCCCAAAAACCCAAAAACACACAAGAACTACAATCTTAATGCCATGTCCATGTCGCAGCTGTACAAGGAGTACGGCATCGGCAACGATACCATCGATTTTGTGGGTCATGCAGTCGCACTTCATACGAATGACGAATACATGCATCGCCCAGCCATTGAAACAGTGATGCGATGCAAGCTGTACGAGGAATCCTTCAACATGTACGATACATCGCCGTATGTCTATCCACTATACGGAAGCGGCGAGCTGCCGCAAGCCTTCTCCCGCCTCTGCGCCGTGTACGGTGGCACGTATATGCTTCAGACACCTGTGGACAAGGTGAACTTCAATGCACAGGGTGTCTTTGAGTCCATTGAAAGTGACGGCAAGAAGGCGTATGCTAAGCTGGTTGTCGGAGACCCCTCGTACTTCCCAGACCGTGTGAAGCCATGCGGCAAGGTGGTGCGATGTATTGCTATCATGAACCACCCTATCCCGAACCTGAAGGTGGAGTGCAACTCTTGTCAAATCATTATTCCACAGAAGGAGTTGAAGCGTAAAAACGACATGTATATCCTGCAGCTCAACGCAAACAACAAGGTATGTCCTGAGGGTTTCTATATTGTCATCATTGGCACGACCGTAGAGAACTTGGAAAACCCCATGTTGGACATTCAACCAGGATTAAACATCATCGGCAGCACCATTGAGACGTTTATTTCGGTATCCGACCTGTATGAGCCCATGGAGGATGGCAGTACAAGCAGGTGCTTTATCAGCAACAGCTATGATGCCGCGACGCATTTCGAAAGCGCGGCAGCAAACATACTTGATCTCTTCCAGCGAGTTCATGGAAAGCCGTACGAATTTGAAAGCATGAAGCAGCCTGGGGGGGCGGCGGGGCAGGTGTAAAGAAGAAATAATGCTTCACAATCACACACTCTCTCTCTCTCTGGGACTCGTCTTTGCGTGTGTCTGTGTGTCTCTTTTTCCTCTGCATATGATGTGCGTATGAGAAAGAATAGATCAAAGAGGAAGGTGACGTGCTGGAGTATTTAAGCAATCGCTTCTCGTTTGCGGATTTACTATGAATACGTATTTGTGTGTTTTATTTGGGTGGGAACGTGGCAAGGTGGAGTTGTTTTCCGTATCCTCGCCGGTGTGGGGGTGCGCCTCGCCTTTTTTTGACACTACCACACACTGTATTGTGTTTTTTTCTTCGTTGTGCTACTGCTGCTGATGCAGTGGTGGCAGCGAAGCGCCGTGAGGCTTGTGTCTCGCGCCGTGTTGTCAATTACACTTCACTCCTCTTGCTTTGTTTTTTTTTTTTTTGGTGGTTTCGTTT